AGAGAGAGAGAGAGAGAGAGAGAGAGAGAGAGAGAGAGAGAGAGAGAGAGAGAGAGATTGATTCTTGGGCTGGAGCAATGGCTTAGTGGGCAAGAGCACTGCCTGCTCTTCCAGGGACCCAGGTTCAATTCCCAGCATCTACATGGCAGTTCACAACTGTCTGAAACTCCAGTTCCAGGAAATTTGACATCCTCACACAGATAAATGTACAGGCAAGACACCATTGCACAGAAAATAAAAACAAATCTTAAAAAAAAAAACTCCTTCCTCTTCTACACATGCGCAAGCACGCGCCTGCACGCGCACACACACACACACACACACACACACACACACACACGCTTGATGTGAAGGCTCTCCTCCTTGAGGCCAATGGACAGCATTACTCTGAAGACAGCTGGTAAAAAGTGGGAGGAGATAACCAATAGACACAGAGTGGGGTCTGGATGGCTATTTGTAAGGTTTCAAGCCTATTAGATTATAGACAGGATTTGGGGATGCTGGGGACATTCCAGCCATAGTTAGATGGCTACTGTTGAAATGCTTCCATCTTCTCTCTCCCTGCCACGCTCTGATCTCCCTCTCTCCCTCTCCAATAGTGGCAAGCTGGTTTCTCCCAAGTGGAAGAACTTCAAAGGCCTCAAATTGCTGTGCCGGGACAAGATCCGCCTCAACAATGCCATCTGGAGGGCCTGGTACATTCAGTGTGAGTGGGCACCATGGGTCCCTTGGGGTTGGGAGGGTTCCTTCAAGCCAGAGGGCTCCATTCCTAGAACCCAGAGCCAGCTCCTGCAGAGTGCACGACATCAGAATTGTAGAGAAAGGGAGCTCTCAGTGCAAGGACCCTTGAGCATCCTCCGGCCTTCAGAGGGTCTTGAGGAACTTGTGTCAAATGGCACTTTTTTTTTTCTTTAGTTTTTCGAGACAGGGTTTCTCTGTAGCTTTGGAGTATGTCCTGGAACTAACTCTTGTAGACCAGGCTCGAACTCACAGAAATCCACCTGCCTCTGCCTCCCAAATGCTGGGATTAAAGGTGTTTGCCACCACCACCCAGCCAAAGGTCACTTTCTTTTTTTAAAAAAATTTATTTGTTTATTATATATGCAATATTCTGTCTTCGTGTATGCCTGAAGGCCAGAAGAGGGCACCAGAACTCATTCTCATGGTTGCTGGGAATTGAACTCAGGACCTTTGGAAGAGTAGGCAACGTTCTTAACCTCTGAGCCATCTCTCCAGCCCCCCAAAGGTCACTTTCTAAGGTGAGACAAGGACAAGATACAGCCGAGGGCACTTTGAAAGCTCTGAAGGAGGTGGCAATGGATGCTAATTCAAGACTCTTGACATATTCACCAGCCCCTTCACTAAGTAAACTACTTGAGATTCTCTGGAAAAGAAGCCAGTTAGAACCAGAGCTCAGTGGTAGAGCACCTGCCTAGAATCCCCCAGTGAGGCGATGGGGTGTGGCTCAGTGGTAGAGCACCTGCCTGGAATCCCCCAGTGTGGGTCTAGGGGAGTCATCCAGTGGTAAAATGTCTGCCTAGAATCCATCAACAAGTGAGGGGCTGGGGATGTGGGTCAACAGTAATACACTTACTTATAATGTTCAAGTCCCTGGGTTTCATTTCCAGCACCACAAAAAGGGTACGTGTGGGGGCATTTACATACCCCACTGGTCCGATTGCAATGCTTAGTAAATGGAGAAAATCTTGCACAGATCAGCCTTTCTCTGTGTAGCCCTCCCTGGCTGTCCTGGAACTCCGCCAAAGACCAGGCTGGCCTTGAACTCTGAGATGTGCCTGCTTCTGCCTCCCAGGTGCTGGAATTAAAGGCATGCACCACCACTGCCCAGCACCACCAGCTGTTCACTGAACATCCTGTAGGTACCTGGTGTGATTTAGGCAGATGTTGGGGGCGGGGGGGGGGGACAGGCCTTATGTCACTCAGACAGGTTTCTTGTCTCTCTTTCTTCCTTGGCTGTTTGACTTCAAGCAAGTCAATAGGTTAGCCTCTTTGAACCATGTCCCTGTCTATCCAATGATGGCGGATCTGCTAAAGACAGATACAAGAGGGCCTAGCAATAAGATGAGGTTCAGTGAATAATATACCCAGAGGAGGTTACAGTCGTGTCTTTGGGGACAGCCCCTCTGTGGCAAGACAATAGAATCATAGGCCGGGCTGGGCTGGGAACACAGCCCTGGAGAAATACATTTGCTTTAGTCGTCTCTGCTGGCCCGCTGGATCCCATCCAAGCAGAAGGGGACTGTGAGACTCTGGGTTCTGTTGACTCATATGCCCAACACTTGAATAAATTATCTTGTTTAAGGTCCAAAAGCAGCCAGGCATGGTGATGCACTGTAGAGGCAGAGGCAGGAGGATCTCGGTGAGTGTGTCTGCATAGTGAGTTTCAGACCAGCCAGGTCTACATGGTGAGAGCCTGTCACAAACAAGAAGGAAGAGGAGGGAGCAGTGGGGGCGGTGGCAGCGACCGTGGCAGCATCAAACTTGGGGGGGGGGCGATAGCAGAGGGGCCTTCTTCATCCAGTCCACTGTGTAGCAAGGTCCAGACCACCCTGAGCTCCTGAAATCCTATCTGAAACAGATGTGGGGGCATCAGGACACATTCCCGGGGAGAGTTTTCAGACCCCCCCCCCTTCTCAGTTGTATAGCATCCTGAACTGGGGAACCCCCAAGTGAAGGACTGGGGGTGTGGCTCAGCGGAGAGCACTTGCCTGGATGCTCCCACATGGAACTACAAGCTCTTTGCACGGCTTCTCTGTGTCATGTCACCGAGAAGTTATCTGATGGGCTCTGGGCGAATTAGGAAGCTGTAAAGCCTGGGTGGGGGAGGGCAGAGTCTCCCCACCTTGGTGTTCTCTTTTCATGCTAAAACTAGATGGGCACACACACGCTGTTGGTGCTGCAGAAGTTAATTCATCTTTTCCTTTGCTCCCTTCCTTCCCCCTCCCTCTATTTCTTTCTGTATGTCTATGCAGGTGTACATGTGTATGTAAAGGCGAAGGTCCTACCTTAGCTGTTATTCTGTCTCGTCGCCACAAAGTAGCTGAGGCTTAGCTGGGCGGTAGCTGCGCACACCTTTAAACCCAGCGGGAGGCAGAGGCAGGCGGATCTCTGTGAGTTCGAGACCAGCCTGGTCTACAGAGCCAGTTCCAGGACAGGCTCCAAAGCTACAGCAAACCCTGTCTCAAAGAAACAACAAACAAACAAACAAACAAACAAAAAGCGTGTCTCCCTACCGGATTAGACTTGAATTCAGTGTGTAACCAAGGGTGACCTTGAACTCCTGAGCTTCTTCCTTTCTCTGCCTCCTAAGTGCTGGCAGAAGGAGCGCCACCACACCTGTTTTCTTTCCTTTCTCTCTTCTCCTCATTTATTTATTTATTTATTCATTTATTATGCATACAGGGTTCTGCCTGCATGTGAGCCTGCAGGCCAGAAGAGGGCACCAGATCTTATTACCAATGGTTGGGCATGGCTCAGTGGTAGAGCACCTGCCTAGAATCGCCCAATGAAAGGTTGGGGGCTGTGGCTCAGTGGTAGAGCCCCTGCTTAGAATCCCCAGAGAGGGGCTGGGGTGTGGCTCAGTGGTAGAGCACCTGCCTAGAATTCCCCAATGAAGGGTTGGGGGCTGTGGCTCAGTGGTAGATCCCCTGCTTAGAATCCCCAGAGAGGGGCTGGGGTGTGTGGTTGGCAGAGTTTAGTAGTATCACACTTGCAAAGTATGCAAGAGGCCCCTAGGTTCAATATTCAACAATACAATCAATCAATAAATTTGAAAAATTAGGGAGCTGGAAAGCCAGGTGGGCTTGGCTTTGCCCCCTCTTAAGGTTCTTGGGGGCTGAAGAGATGGATTAGTGGTTAAGAGAACTTGCTGCTTTTGTAAAGGACTCGGTTGGGTTTCTAGTACCCACACAGTGACTCCCAACCATCTACAACTCCAGTTTCAGAGGATCTGATACCCGCTTCTGCCCTCCACAGAAACCAGGCACACATGCACACATACAGGGGAAACACTCTGACCTCCACAGGAGCCAGACACGTGCGCACACACACACACACACACACACACACACACACACACACACGGGAGACATTCATACATGTAAAATAAAATAGATAAACCTTTAAAAGATTTTTAAGTTCCTTAAAAGGTGGCTGTGATGATATAGGCATGTAATTTCAGCTACTCTAGAGGCTGAGGCAGGAGGATGACCAGTTAAATTCCATCTGAACTGCACAGGACGACTGTATAAAAACAAAACAAAACTATATAAAAGAGGGCAGGCCAAATGACTTGGTGGATAAAGGTGTTTTCCCCACTGAGGCTGATGATCCGAAGGTTTCCTGGTCCCATATGAAGATGAAAGGAGAGAACCAACCCCAGAAAGTCCTTTTCTGACTCCTACACGTGTGCCTCCTTAGCACACAAAATAAAGAAATGTAATAAGAATCTAAAACATTGAGCCGGGCAGTGGTGGCACACGCCTTTAGTCTCAGCACTTGGGAGGCAGAGGCAGATGGATCTCTGTGAGTTCCAGGCCAGCCTGGTCTACAAGAGCCCGTTCCAGGACAGCCAAGACTGTTACAAAGAGAAACTCTGTCTTGAAAAACGAAACAAAACAAAAATCTAAAACATCATAATAGTAGCAAAGTTGTGGATGTAGCTCAGCGGTAGAGGCTCTAAATTCAATCCCTAGTGGGGGACAAAAGAACAAAGGCTTATTATGGAGGAAGCTTGGCTTCCATCCCTGTAGAAAGTGCCATTCTCATCTCACCCATCAGGGGGCGCTACAGCCCCTCCACAGGTCCCTATCTTCATCTTGGCTGCACTTCCTTCCATGTCCAGCACTGGTCTTCGACGTCCCCAAAGCCTCTTGGGTTCTTAGCGCTGCCAGGGCACTTTGCACCTCTCCCTGGAGAGGAGGGACTTTCCAGTTTACCTTATCTATCCCAAGTTTATTTACTTTCCTTATCTGTGCTGCTGTGAGCACCTCTGACTTATCCCTGAGCCTCTCATTCTGGCATTGGCCCCCCACAAAGGTACAAAGTGAATAGTGAATCGCGAATGAAGGGGTGGGATGCAGTGGTAGAGCAAGTGCATGGAGGATATGATTGGTGTTAAATGAAACCCGACACAGCCCTGTGTACAGAACACAGGGTCCCTGAGCGGGGGAGGAGACAGGCAGGGTCCAGTTGTTCCTAGCTAATCTTTCCTGGTGTTCACGTCCTCATCTGGGAAGCCAGGAGGGAGATACTCTGGAAGGCTTCCTTGTTCTGGGACCCTGGTAATCTACACACCCGAGGGTCCATCTCTTCTTCCTCCTTTTCTGTTGGATCTCATGTAGTCCAAGCTAATTTGAACTCAGACTCACAAAGAATAATCTTAACATTTTGATCCTTCTGGTTCCATTTTCCAAGTGCTGGAAGCAGGCATGTGCCATCTCACTGGTTTGGAGTTTCTAGGTTCTCTCTCTTCCTCTCTCCTTTTCTCCTTGTTGCTCTTTGTGATACTGGAGCTGGAACCCAGGGCCTCACATACACTAGTCAAACACTAAATACCACTGAGCCACATTTCCAGGTCTTTCCTGGGGCATTCTAGGCAGGTGCTCTACCATTGAGCCACACCCAGCCCCTCACTGGGGGATTCTAGGCAGGGGCTCTACCACCGAGCCACACCCTAGCCTCTCACTGGGGGATTCTAGGCAGGGGCTCTACCACTGAGCCACACCCTATCCTCTCACTGGGAGGTTCTAGGCAGGGGCTCTACCACTGAGCCACACCCTAGTCTCTCACTGGGAGGTTCTAGGCAGGGGCTCTACCTCTGAGCCACATGCCATCACAGCACTGTCTGTGATGAAGGTCTGCTGAATCAATAGACCCTGAAAAGAAATAACTGTCAATGTATAGCATGGGAAGAAATCACAGGAAGACCTGGAGGAAGATGTTGCCTGTAGAATAAGACTAGAGAGGAGCCTGGTGGCATGGCTCATGTCAGTAACTGGCACTCAAGAAGCTAAGGCAGGAGGATCACAAGTGTGAGGCATTCCTGAACTATATAAGATAGTTTTTCACAACTATCTTTGGGTTTTTATTACTGTGAAGAAACACCATAACCATGGCAACTCTTATAAAGGAAATAATTTAATTGGGGCTGGCTTACAGTTCCAGATGTTTAGTCTATTATGGTCACATCAGGTGGCATGGTAGCATCAGGCAGACATGGTGCTGCAGAAGGAGCTGAGAGTTCTACATCCACATCTGCAGGCAGCAGAAGCAACTGTGTGCTACTCTAAGTGGAGCTCGAGCATAGGAGACCTGGAAGTCCACCCTCCACAGTGACACGCTTCCTCCTGTAAGGCCACACCCACTCCAACAAAGCCACACCTCTTCTAAAACCACTCCCTATGGGGGCCATTTTCTTTCAAAGCACCACACAAACCAAACAAATAAAAGAGACAGTAGCCTATGGGTGGGATACATGACAGAGACAGGAAGCTGGGGCCACCAGATCAGGGGGAGTTTGGAAACCTCCAAACTGAGTCTGGAAGCTGTAGGGCGCTATGGAGTGTTTTAGACCCATAGCAGCAGAAATGATGACCAGCTGAGTGTGAGGCTGGGGTCTGGGGGGTCCATGCATGGAATGACTCAGACTACGGGGTGTGTGAGAAAGGATGGAGAGGAGGGGCCAGGGAAGAACTGTCAGGGATCCTGCTGAGTTGGCATGGCTGGTCTGTGGATTGTCAGAAAGCCGGAAACTGCTAAGGAATATTTGCCGGTTTGGTTTTTAATTTTTTTAAAGATTTATTTATTTATTATGTATACAACATTCCTTCCATGTGTGCTTGCATGCCAGAAGAGGACACCAGATCTCATTATAGATGGCTGTGAGCCACCATGTGCTGGGAATTGAACTCAGGATCTCTGGAAGAGTAGTCAGTGTTCTTAACCTCTGAGCCATCTCTCCAGCCCCATCTCTGCAGTTCTGGAATGTCAGTAGGAAGAAAATTCAGGGATCAGCAGGCAGCAGGGGATCATGGAGGAGGTAGGACCTATGTCTGGGGGCGAGAAGGATGGAGCTGGGCCTTCTGGGAAGATACTGAGTTTCCAGACTGAAGAGGTATGCAAGGTGAGGTGTGAGTACCTGTGACAGCTGCAAAATTTGGAGCAAGGGGGCTGGAGAGATGGCTCAGAGGTTAAGAACATTGCCTACTCTTCCAAAGGTCCTGAGTTCAATTCCCAGCAACCACATGGTGGCTCACAACCATCTGTAATGGGGTCTGGTGCCCTCTTCTGGCCTGTAGGCATACAAGGAGGCTGAACACTGTATACACAATAAATAAATAAATATTTTTTAAAAAAATTTGGAGCAAGAATAGATGTTCATGACTGGAGCGGAGGGGGGGGGAGTAGAAAAGAACCTGGAGCTGAAGCAGGAGGATCAAGAGATTGAGGGCAGTCTAGAGAGATGGCTCAGTGGTTAAGAGTGCTGGCTGCAATTCCTAGAGGTCCTGAGTTCAATTCTCAGCATCTCCATGGCATCTATATACACAGTCATTGGTAGTGGGATCCACTGTGCAGATGTACATGAAGACAGCATAATCTTAATAATAAATCTTTTTATCTTTAAGGTTTATTTTTAGATATATTGGTGTTTTGCCTGCATGTATGTCTATGTGAGGTCACCAGATCCCCTGGAACTGGAGTTACAGATATTTGTGAGCTGCCATGTGGTTGCTGGGAATTGAAACCAGGACATCTGGAAGAGCAGTCAGTGTTCTTAACCACTGAACCATCTCCCCAACCCCCCAAAATCTTTTTATAAAGAGTTTGAGAGGCTGAGCAGTGCTGGTGCAGGCCTTTAATTCTAGCACTCGGGAGGCAGAGGTCGGTGGATCTCTGTGAACTCGAGGTCTATGGAGTGAGTTTCAGGACAGACAGAGCTACACAGAGAAACCCTGTCTCAAAAAAATTTTTTGATGACATAGTCATTCCGGGCTAGCCCAAACTATAATAAATAGCAAGAATATGTGTCAAAATAGAAGATAATTCACACAAGACCTGATGATGTGTCTTCTCGGCACATTTGCCCCAACCAGCCACTGAACATTGAAGACAGGGTGTGGGTCAGCAATAGAGTGCTTAGAATCTCCCAGTGAGAGGTGGGGGCGTGATTCAGTAGTAGAGCTTGTGTAGACTGAGAGAGAGAGAGGCAAAGTGGGAGGGAGGGAGAGTTGGCTTCGTGGGTCGTGAACTTGTCTAGAACACAGGAAGCCCTGGGTTCCCTCACCAGCATTGCATAGAATTGGCATGGTGGTGCACTTGGGAGGCTGATGCAGAAGGATCAAGAGTTCAAGGCCATCTTTAGCTACTAATGAGTTTGGGACCAGCGAAGGACCAATGTCTTAAAAGAAAAGCAAAAAGAAAAGGGTCAGGCTGGATTATAAAGTGTGTCACTCGACTTCCAGTCTCCTAGGGTGGAGGATGAGAGGTCTGGGTGCCTCTGACCTGGCCCTCTTCCCTCAGATGTGCAGCGGAGGAAGAGCCCAGTGTGTGGCTTTGTGACCCCTCTGCAGGGGTCTGAAGCAGATGAGCACCGGAAGCCTGAGGTAGCTGTTGATGGACTGCCCACCCCTCTGGTTATCCACCCTGAGGTTCCCTCCCGCGGTTGGGTGTGATATGGGATATGGGAGGACCGACCTCTTAGGGCATCACCCTGAGCCCTGACATCTGCCCTCCCCCAGGCTGTCGTCCTGGAGGGGAATTACTGGAAGAGGCGCATCGAGGTGGTGATGCGCGAATACCACAAGTGGAGAATCTACTACAAGAAGCGGGTCAGTGGGACTGGCAGGGGTAGAGCGTCCGCTTGGGGCTTAGAAGAGCCCTTGGAGGGGATCCCATGGTCCCACCCTAACCCATACCCTCGAACCACCCCTGTAAGTCTCAGCATGTAAGCCACAGGGTCTCCCCAGGGCCAGTTTCTCTCCCCGGTGGTGGAAAGGGGCGGGTCCTGGGGATGTGTGGAGGAAGGGGGCGTGGCTCAGTGGGGAAAAGGGATTCAGGGTCCAATTTTGTGTCCCCGCAGCTCCGTAAGTCCAGCAGGGAAGGGGATCTCCTGGCTCCCAAACAGGTGAGTGTTCAGTAACTTTAGCTGGGCACCAAGGAAGGGCATCTGGGAAGTTGGAAACTGGAAAATCGAAAATGGCTGCCTGGCTGACCAGGACAGAAAATGGGAGAGGTAAGTGGGTGTGAGAGGAATGGGCATGGCCTCCACGATGGTGCGGGTGATGACTTCAACTTTCTCTTCTTAGGAAGATTTGTTGTGAGACAGGAGGATTGTAGTGAGTTCCAGGCCAGCCTGAGTTAGATTATGAGTCCAGCGCCAGTGTAGGCTGCAGTGAGGACTCCTTGAGACAAGCAAACAAAACAAACAAACAAAAAGAAAGAAAAGAAAAGCAAGCAGATGGTGGGAGGCCCAAGGGAAAGGCATCCACAGGATGGAAGTTTCAGACAGAAGAAACCAGCAGACAGAAAGCCAGGCTAAGGCGGAGGCAGGAGGATTGCAAACTGAAGGTCAGTTCAGGAGCTCTGAAGCTAGCTTGGAGGCTGTCTTCAAGAACAAAAATAAAAACAACTGAAACTTGGCTTGTGCGTGCATACCAACAGTGCTGCTGCTAAGGAGGTAGAGGTGGTAAGGTAGGGAGTTTAAGGCTATCCTCTGCTACAAGAGAGTCCGGGCTAGCCTGGGCTACATGACACCCTGCCTCCAAAAATTAAAGCCAACAAGATGTGATGGTGCATGCTTTTAATCCCAGAGCTTGGGAGGCTGAGGCTGTTGGGTCTCTGTGGGTTCGCAGCTTGGGTTACATCATGAGCTCCAGGCCAACTAGGGCTATCTAGTGAGACTCTGTCTTTTTTTATTTGCTTTTCGAGACAAGGATTCTTTGTATAATAGCCTTGGCTGTCCTGGAACTCGCTCTGTAGACCAGGCTGTTCTTGAGCTCACAGAAATCCTCCTGTCTCTGCCTCCCAAGTGCTAGGATTAAAGCTGTGCCTCGACTGCCCGGCTGAGGCTCTATAAATAAATAAATAAATAAATAAATAAATAGCCAAACTACAGCTGAGAGAGCAGGAAGGGCTATTGGCTGGCCATCCTGGTCTGCTTCCTAGAGTTGTTAGGGGCCAATAGGATGACCTTGACCTTTCAGCCAGTAAGCCAGGCCCTCCAAGGTGCTGTCTTTTAGGGCTTTCCCTCCAGGGTGGGGAATCACCTCATCCTCAGACAGGGATAACATGGAGGAGCAGGGCAGTGACCTCTGTGTCCTGCCAGGTGGAAGGTGGGTGGCCGCCACCAGAGCGATGGTGCGAACAGCTCTTCTCCAGCGTGGTGCCCGTGCTGCTTGGAGGCTCCGAGGAGGAGCCCGGGGCTCGACAGCTTCTGGACCTCGACTGCTTCTTGTCCGATATATCCGACACACTCTTCACCATGACACAGCCCAGCCCCTCGTCCCTGCAGCTGCCCCCAGAAGATGGTGAGGAGAGAAAGGGGAAGGGGGAGAGGGGCTGAGCCGTCCTCCCCTGCCTGCCGCTTCCAACCTCACCATCTTCCCTTCAGCTTACGTTGGCAATGCTGACATGATCCAGCCAGACCTGACGCCACTGCAGCCCAGCCTGGATGACTTCATGGAGATATCAGGTGGGACAGGTCCTTCATCAGGAGTAAGGACAAACCCCGAAAGGGTTAGTCTAAGAAAAAAAAAAACCCTGGGAGACTATAAGGCTTTGTGTAGTGGGAGGATAAATGGTGTTGTAATTATGTGTGTGTGTATGTGCATGTGTGCTTATGTGTGTTCCCAAGAGCTTATGCCTACTAGGCAGGTGCTCTACCACTGAGCCACACCCAGCACCTCACTGGGGGATTCTAGGCAGGGGCTCTACCACTGAGCCACACCCCAGCCCCTCACTGGGGGATTCTAGGCAGGGGCTCTACCACTGAGCCACACCCCAGCCCCTCACTGGGGGATTCTAGGCAGGGGCTCTATTACAGATCCTTTATGGTCTAGCGTGGGAAAGTCCTTAGGTTTAATTTTGAGCACTTCATAAGCCACTGTGACAGACAAGAGAATTCCAAGCGTCAAATCTCTGAGTCTTTTTTTTTTCTTGAGAAGGGGTTTCTCAGTGTAGCCCTGGCTTTTCTGGAACTCACTATGTAGACGAGGCCTTGAACTCATGGAGATTTGCCCGCCTTTGCCTACTGAGTGCTGGAAGCAAAAGCGTGTGCCACTACATCTGGCTTAGAAGCATCAAATCTCTTAAAGTGGGGCTGGAGAATTGGCTCAGCAATTAAGAGAGAGCCCTGGCTGTTCTTCCAGAGGACCAGGTTCAATTCCCAGCAACAACATGGTGGCTCACAAACATCTGTAATGAGGTCTGGTGCCCTCTTCAGGCCTGCAGGCATACACACAGACAGAACACTGTATATGTAATAAATAAAAATACATCTCTTAAAGCATTTTAGACAGAGGTAAGTTTCTCAGGCTCCCCTTTTTTTTCCTAGGCTATTGAGTTACTGATGTGTTTCTAGAGATCCTATGAATGTCAGTATGAGCCCATGAGGACTAAACGTCTTTCTTCCTCTCTCCTGTCTCTGGTTTTTCTTTTGAAAAACAGACAGGTGTCTTAGGGTTTTATTGTCATGAAGAGACACCATGGCTATGGCAGCTCGTATAAAGTAAAGCATTTAATTCGGCTGACTTACAGTTCAGAGGTTTAGTCCATTGTCATCATGATGGACATGGCGGCATGTAGACAGACATGGTGCTGGAGCAGTAACTGAGAATTGTACATCTGCAGCCGGGCGGTGGTGGCGCACGCCTTTAATCCCATCACTGGGGGGGGGGCAGAGACAGGTGGATCTCTGTGAGTTCAAGACCAGCCTGGTCTACAGAGCTAGTTCCAGGACAGGCTCCAAAACCACAGAGAAACCCTGTCTTGAAAAACCAAAAAAAAAAAAAAAAAAAAGGAATTTCTACATCTGGATCTGCAGGCAGTAGGAAGAGACAGTGACACTGGACCTGGCTTAAACTTCTGAAACCTCAAAGCCCACACGCACCCAGTGATACACTTCCTCCCACAAGACCCGACCTACTCCAGCAAGGCCCACCTCCAGTAATGCCACTCCCTATGAGCCTACTGGGGCCATTTCATTCAAATGTCCACCCTAGTTTTCTTTCTGTTGTTGTAACAGATACTCTGTCAAAAAGCAGCTTAGGGAAGGAAAGGGTTTAGCTTCCCTTCTGGGAAGTCCATCCCTGAGGGAGGGCAGGGCAGGAACTCAAGCAGGAACCATGGAGGAACAAGGTGTGCTGCCAGGGTCCTCGTTGGGATGACTGTTGCTATCATGAAACACCATGACCAACAGCAGCTTGGGGAAGAAAGAGTTTATCTGGCTAAACTTCAGCATCACAGTCCATTGCTGAGGGAAGTCAAGACAGGAACCTGGAGGCAGGAGCTGATGTAGAGGCCATGAAGAGGTTGCTGTCTATTGTTGGTTCTTCATGACTTGTTCAGCCTGTTTTCTCACAGAAAGTTGGGACTCCAGCCACAGTGGCCTGGGCCCTCCCCTATCAACCACGAATTAAGAAAATGCCCTACAGGCTTGCCTACAGCCTGATCTTAAGGAAGCATTTTCTCAGTTGAGGCTCCCTCGAGTAGACATAAAGTGAACCAACACACTTTGATACCTCCTGTGTCAATTAACAATCAAGACAGCCTGATCTAAGCAGTCCCTCGGTTATGGTCCCTTCTCAGGTTACTTTAGTAAACCATCAAGTTGACAGATGAAGTTAACTAGGTTACAGGTCTTATGCAGTTCAGGCTGGCCTCAAACTTGCTGATGCCAAGGCTGCTCTGAACTCTGATCCTCCTGTCTCTCGCATCAGAAGACTAGAGTGTGTATTTATCACCATGCCCACAGTGTGTGCCCTCTCCTTCTTCTCTTCTCTCTCCATCCCCCATACCCCACTTACTTGAGATAGAATTTTACTAGGTAGCCCAGGATGACCTTGAACCCATGACCCTTCTGTCTCAGTCTTCTGAGTGCCTGGATTCCCGGTGTGAGTCACAAGGCCTGGTACAGCTTGCTCCCTGTTTCCAATGGGGTCTTCCTTCCCCACAGTACTGTACTTTTTTCTTTGCTGATTGTATTTCTTTCTTTCTTTTTTATTGTTGTTTGGTTTGTTTGTTTGTTTGTTTTTCAAGACAGGGTTTCTCTGTGTAGTCTTGGATGTCCTGAAACTCATTCTGTAGATCAGGCTAGCCTCGAACTCAAGAGATAGATCCTCCTACCTCTGCCTCCTGGTTGCTGGTGCCGTGTGCCACCATTGCCCGGGCCTGCCTGTATTTCTAGCTCACTGCTCCTTACAGCATGCATTTAGGAGCCTTCAAAGTCATGCTGGGGGGTCAGCTGGGGGTCAGGAAAATAACAGGGCTGAGCTGAAGAGCAGAGTCTCAGAGAGAAACTTCATTCAGTGACAAGTCCCCTTCCAAGCTCCTTCCTTACAGGGTCCTGGGCCTGTCATTCAAGAGGTGAGGCCAATCACATGGGTACCAGGGAATGAGGAACCACCCCTACCCCCACCCCCTGCCTTAGTCCTGGGAGGGTGGGGTCTGCCAGGGGCAGAAGTGTTGGTGGCAGTGCCCTGGAAGCCGACCTGCCCCCAAGGACAGCAGCTCTATCTTGTCCCACAGACCCCTACCACAGGTAGGAGCTCAGCTCTGCCCACCCAGCATCTGGGCAAAATGCAGAGGGGTTGGAGTTTGCAGTAACTTTTCAGTCAATGTCAGGTGGACGATGTTTGGGAGCGAGCATGGCTCTCCCAGAGCAGGTGGCTACAGTGACCCTCTGGAGCTGGCCCTGCTCAGGGAAAGCCTCGAGCCACCAAGGTTTCCATTCTGTCTCTGTTCTGGAAACCCCGTTGAAGGTGCAAAATTCTACAGAGGCGGGGGGGGGGGGGCGGGGGACAGGCAGGTGCAGGGACAGAGAGTGGTTGGTTAGTGTGGGGACCAGGCCCGGAAAGAACTGGGGCTTGATGGGAAGCTCTCTGGAGGCCACCTGGAACAGGTGTGAACAAGGGGAAGGTGGCTGTTTTGGCACGATGTGTTTGCCACTGGACAATGCTCTAATCTTGGACTTCGCGTGGCTCTTAGGGGATGGGGTGGAATTCTGGTGACCACTTTCTGGTCCCTCCATAGATCCCTTTGTAAAAAGTGGGGGCACAGGGAAATATAAAACCCCTTCTGATACTGGGAGAGATGTGAACATGGCAGGTGTGTCCTCAGTCACATCCAGACATCCAGGGACGAGGTAGACAGGTGCTTCCTGTCACCGCATACTGATACTCAGAACCTGTTTGGTTTTTCTGGCCAGGCAGAATCACCTAAGACAAACACCCACACATATACACACATGCCATGCACAACACATTTGCAAGCTCAAACACATATTTATACACACATATCACCACATACATACACACATGCACACACACATATAAAAGACTACCACACTCATACATGCTCATACACATGGACAAACACATAAGCATATATACATGTACACACATGGCAACATACATGCATGTATATATACTATAAACATATACACGCTTACACATATAGAAGCCTACATGCATGCATACATGCATATACACATGCACACAGCATACACATGTGTGTATATACATTCACATATATATGTATGTTCTCAGACATGTATGTACGTATATGCACACATATATACATATACGCTCTCAACATACATATATACACAAATACACATACCACATAGACATATACACACAAATATACATAACACATAGACACGCATATACCATATAGGCATATACATATGCACACCCTGACCCTATGACCTTCTTGAACTCACTTGGTCTTGAGAGGTGGCTTGTGTTAAAAGGTCTGACCAGCTCCTCCTGGCTTGGGATTCTGGAGGGAAAATGGGGGAGCACAGCTCACCAAACCCTGTGGGGAGCTACCATGCTCTGCTCTGACCGAGATCTTGGGCACAAAACACATGCTGGTCAGGGTCAGAGAAAGGTGCCCGGAAGGGAGCGGGTAGGCGGGTGTCGCCCCAGCCCGGGATGTGGTTAGGCTGTGAGCAGCCTGCTTCCCAAAACCAGAATAGCTCAGAACTTACACAACCCATACTCTAAACAATCTGGCTGCCTTGCCTGCCTCTCCTATAAACTTTTCAGGCTTCCTGGCTCCCTAGCACTCACACCCCAACTCTGAGCCCACTCTGTGTTCCCCAAATGTCAGCCTAGGCTCCGCTCTTACAGCCTCAACTTAAATGATCTTCCAACAAGTCTAACCTATGCCTGACCCACTGACCTCATGAACCTGCTCACCCTTGATTCATCCCTGACACACTGAGGCAACTCCCCTGTACCCCACCTTTTTCCTTCCCAGAACCTCTCTATGACCTCTTCTTTCTAGAATGCCAACAGTGCTAAAAAGAGGAGAGACACAGGGAGAGGAAGTGAGCCCAGACTGGGGCGCCATGGGTGGGCAGCTTCCTGGGGTCCCTGCTCCCTCCCTCCCAGAGCCCAGCATCTCTCCCAAGACCATCCTGCCAATCTCCTACTGGTCTCTGGTGCGGCTTCCCCTGAGTGTGACAGACATCATTTCACAGTCTCCCATGGAAACCTTCCACCTCTCCTGGTCCCTATCCCACCTCTGCCCCGCATGGGGACTGTATCAAAGACCTAGCCTGAGTCCTTAATATCATTTGCTCCCTTGTGCGTCCCAATTACAGATTTCTTCACCAATTACCGACCCCCGCAACCGCCCACATCCTCAAACTTCCTGGAGCCCCCCAGCTTTGGCCCCATGGCTGACTCCCTCTTCAGCAGTGGAATCCTGGGCCCAGAGATGCCACCTCCAGCCTCCGCTTCCTCCTCCTCGGGGATGACCCCTCTCTCAGGGACTACCCGCCTACAGGTGAGTGTACCCTGTTCTGTGCAGCCTTTCCAGGACGTCTGAGAGCTAGCTCTGGCTCTGTGTGGGGCCAGGAGGTAGCTAAACACTTTCTTGGGCAGCCAGAAAGAAGAGATCTTGGGAGAGCACAGCCCCCAGAGAAGACCCTACAAAGCAGAACTAGATGAATTGAGTGAGAGAATGGTAGAGGAAGGCAGAGGGCGTAAGAACCATAGAACAGGGCACAAGCCAGATGATTTGGGTTTTCTTGTCATTGTTTTTTGGCTTGGGTTTGGGTCGCAGGGTCCTGGATGGCCTTGAACTCACAGAGATCAGCCTGCCTCTGCTTCAAGAGTGCAGGGATTAAAGGTGTGCGCCACCCTGCTTGCCCCACATTCTGGGTCTGAGTGAATGAATGGGCAGGTGAAGGGCGAGCCAACTGGGATGGAGAGGCAGGAATGTGTGTGAGGAAGCAGGATGGGAGTGTGTGTGTGTTTAGGCAACTGTGAGTTGGTGTCTTGTTTCTAGAACTCCGATACCCATACCAGTCCAGAAGTCATTTCCCTGCAATTGTTAGCTGTCTCTTCTAGTTTCATTTCTGTTGCTGTGCTAAAATACCCCGAGGGAAAGCAAGTTAGGGGGAGAAAAGGGGTTTCTTTCAGCTAGGAGCCCCAGGTTACAGACCGTCAGTGTGGGACAGTCAAGGCAGGAACTTCCAACAGTCACACCACGTCTACAGTCAAGAGCAGAGAGAAGTGGCGGCAAGCGTGCTCACTTATGTTCGGCTCCGCTTCTTTACTCTGACACAGTTCAGAATCCCCTGCCTAGCGAATGACGCCTCCCACCATGGGCTCCATCTTTCCGTATCACCTGACTTAATGAAGATACTCCCCAATAGACACACCCACAGGCCAACCCGACGTGGCAGTCTCTCACTGAGACTCTTCCCAGGTGGTGCTAGGTTGTGTCACATCGACCATCAAGCCTAACCACCAGTGTCCTTTTCTCCTCTCAAGGAACATCTCACACGCTTTTGTAGTTGATTGTAAGAGGTTTGTCTCCTCCACTGGACAGACAGCTTCTTGCTGGAAGGGCTGTTTAGCCACCGCTGCATTCTCTGCACCTAGTGGTTTCCACACACACGGAAAGGGTTGCCCGGTGAATGAATGCATGAGAGTAAGAGAGACGTGTGTGGCAGTATATGGAAAGATCACTGTAGAAAATGGCGCCTGCGTGTGTGGGTAAGTGAATGTGAAGGAAATGGGCTGGCGAGTGGTCGGATGTTCACATAAAGAGTTTGGTAGATTGATTGAATGAACTAGCGGTGTCTGGGCTGGGGATACCTGGCTTTGCGAATGGATGGATGATTTGTTACGTTAGTGTTTAGTGAATGTGCGGGTGGTTGATGAATAGACAGATGGAGTACGAACGGGCTGATGGGAGAATTAAGAGAATGCAGGTGGTCAGATTTCTTGGTAAACGGCTGGCTACCTGTGGGCCGGAGCAGTAGTCAGTCTCATCACAGGGCTGCATCTAGGAAAACAACCCCACGGAAAGAGTGATTTTGCTTGTGATTTCAGAGGCTTGAGTCTGTCATGGGGAAGGAGGTGAGACAGAGCAGAGAAGCTAGGAAGCAACGACAGAGGTGGTGTGGGGAGGAAGAAAGCCTTCACTAGAGGCCTTCAATCCCCACCCCCACTTATTCCACCTGGGCTCCCAGACTGTGGGCTGGCATTCTTGGTGTGTCTCACCCCCATATCAGTTACTTTGTCCCTTGCTGTGGCATACTACCTGGCAAAAAGCAACATAAGGAAAGGTTTCTTTTTTTTTTTTTTTTTTTTTTTTTGTTTGTTTGGTTGGTTTTTTTTGTTTGTTTTTTTTCGAGACAGGGTTTCTCTGTGGCTTTGGAGCCTGTCCTGGAACTAGCTCTGTAGACCAGGCTGGTCTCGAACTCACAGAGATCCGCCTGCCTCTGCCTCCCGAGTGCTGGGATTAAAGGCGTGCGCCACCATGCCCAGCACAGAAGTTTTCTTCTGGGTCATGGCTTAAGGGATACAGTGGAGAGGGCACGACAGCAGCATGGCGAGACAGCTGATCGGACTGGGTCAGGGAGCGGAGAGGAGGATGCTGGGACCTGGCTTGCGTGCTTACTTCTATTTGATGATAATGATGATGGTGGTGGTGTGCGTGTGTGTGTGTGTGCACGCGTGCATATGTGTGTGCGTGTGTGTGTACAGGCATGATGTAGAGGGGTATACATGACATAGTATACATGTGGAGGTCAGAGACCAGCTTGAAGGTAACAATTTTCCTCTTGCACTGTAGCACCATGTGGGCCCCAGGGACTCAAGTCAAGGCTTGGAAGTAAGTGTTTTACCCACTGAGCCATCTTACCAGTCCCCCTACTTACTACTTTTTAATTTATTTTGTGTGTGTGTTCACAAGTGTGTGTGGTGGGTGCCCATAGGGACATCAGAGAGTAACTTTCAGGAGCTGGTTCTCTCTTTCCCCCATGTGAGTTCCTGGGATCAAACTCAACGCATCAAGCTTGGCAGCAAGGTGCTTTCAGTTCCTGAGACATCGTGCTGGCCCACTTTTTATTAAGTCTGGGATCCCATACCAGTGGAATGGTTCTACCCACACCCAGGAGTCTTCTCTCTCAATGGACCCTCCCTGGAAACATCCTCAGAGACATACCTGAGAGCTGTGTTTCACTGATGCACTGCCCATGTCTTAATGGAATCGAGTTGACCACGGAACTTAACCAGCACACCCCACCCTCTTTGTTTAGCCACTCTGGGAATGCCCTCCACAAACCACCAGTGTGCCTCACCAATCTCCTAGGCACTCCTCAGGTCTACCAATCCAGATTAGCCATCACATCTGGGGGTGGAATAGAGAGATGCGTGAGTTCATAGATGAGAGAATACATACGTAAATGGATGGATGAGTGGACAGGTGGGTAGATGGATAATACATAGATTGATGGGCAAGTTTGTGGGGTGAGCAGGTAGATAGGTGGTTGGATGGACGGATAGTTGGATAGATGGGTGGATGGTTGGATAGATGGGTGGGTGGATGGAAGGATGAATGGAAGGATGGATGGATGGATGGATAAATGAATGGATGGATGGATGGATAAATGAATGGATGGATGGATGGATGGATAAATGAATGGATGGATAAAGAATGAACAATGAGATTGGTGAATGAGTTAGTGTTTCGATGGATGAAGAGCGGATAACTGGAAGGAAGACTGGTAGATAATTGGCAAATAGATGGATAGGTAAATGAAGACTAGATTAATAGCTATATTGGATAAATTATCCGGTGGGTGAATGGATCACGAATTACCAGTAAGACTGATGTGCCATGCATACAATTTGTACTAGGCTACAGTTGTACATTAGATTATGATTTCCAGTATGTGCATGTGTGTGGATCAGTTCTCCTGTGTCCTCAGTACCCAGTCCAGGACATAGCCAGGACAGAGGTTTCCTGGTGGGTACAGACAGGTCCCTCCCCCGCTCTTGTGAGTATCATCCTGTCTCCCTTGTCCCTCATCTAGGCTCGGAACAGCTGCCCTGGACCCTTGGACCCCAGTACCTTTATGAGTTCTGACTTCCTTCTTCCCGAAGACCCAAAGACCAAGATCCCACCTACTCCTATGCCTCCTTCTCTCCTTCCATACCCCACCCCTGTCAAGGCACAGGGCTTAGAGCCCTGCACCCCAGCTCACTTCCCTACAATGGCTCCAGCTCCCACTTTGTTGCCAGAAGAGCCCCTCTTCTCCGCCAGGTTCCCCTTCACCACAGTCCCTCCTGCTCCAGGAATGCCTACTCTTCCTGCTCCTACCACTTTCGTTCCCACGCAGCCACAGCCTGGCCCTAGCCCTGGCCCCGCCCCTTTCCCTGTAGACCATCTGCCCCCTGGGTACCCAGAGCCTGCCTTTAGGCCTCACTTCACCATACCTCAGGATGTGCAGCCCAGATGCAAGCCCTCCACCCCGTCCCCAGGCAGCCGGAAAGCCAGCCCCCCTACCTTGGCCCCTACCACTGCCAGCCCCACCGCCACTGCCAGAGACAACAACCCCTGCCTTACACAGCTTCTCAGGGCAGGTGAGATGGGGGAGGCAGGTGGACAAGGTGCTGGGAGGGAGTGGGCAGGCTACTAGGGCAGAAGGTTAGGGTTCTAGGGTGAGCTTGGGGGGACAGAGAGAGGGTGGAATGAGGTTAGAGACTTGAGCTATATCTGATAGGGTGCGTGGGCTGCTGGGGAGCAAGACGGGGTCTTAATTGGTGATGGACTTAATTGGGCCAGTCTAGTGGTCCTCATAGTACTGCCTGTACCCAGCCAAGCCTGAGCAAGCACTGGAACCTCCAGCTGTGCCCAGCACCCTCCTCCGGCCCGCAGAGTCTCCGGTAAGATGGTGGGCACTGGGATGTAAGGGCCACTCTAGGGCCTTTACCCCAACTCTCTGCCCTTCTCCATCCCAGCAGGATACAGTCTCTGAATTCCCCCGTGCCCGTGCCTTCTTTCCCCCAATCCCGGCCCCTACACCACCTCAGCCACCTCCAGGCCCAGCCACATTGGCCCCTCCCAGGTCCCTGATTGTCCCCAAAGCAGAGCGGCTCTCACCCCCAGCACCCAGCGGTAAATAGGGGCTGGAGGGATTGTGGGTCTTAGAGGAAGGAGGGAGGGGAAAGATGAGGGGGGCTGTGACTGTGATCGGAATGACAGGGACAGGGCAAGGGGACCTTCTCTCTTGTGTGTCCGTCTGTCCTGGTCTGTCCCTGCCACAGGCAGTGAGCGGCGATTATCAGGGGATCTCAACTCCATACCACCCCTAGGGGCACTGAGTGTCCACCTATCTCCCCCTCAACCTATCCTAAACCGGGGTCGCATCGACAACAACAAGGTACGTACAGTCTCCTGACCGCCAAGATGCAACTGTTACCAATCCTACCCCCGGCTTCCCTTAGCCTCATCTCACCTTCTCCTTTCCAAGATGGAGAACCGGCGCATCACACACATCTCTGCCGAGCAGAAGAGGCGTTTCAATATCAAGCTAGGATTCGACACCCTCCACGGACTTGTGAGCACGCTCAGTGCCCAGCCCAGTCTCAAGGTGAGCCCCTAGCCAGAGATGCACATTCCCTTAGAGTCATGGAGCCCCTCCTTGGACCAACACCCAACACCAGATCCCAGGGCCTGCCAGCACAGAGGCCCACACTGGTGGCGCCCGCAGGTGAGCAAAGCAACAACACTGCAGAAGACTGCCGAATACATCCTGATGCTGCAGCAGGAACGGGCGGCCATGCAGGAGGAGGCGCAGCAGCTGCGGGACGAGATAGAGGAGCTCAATGCCGCCATCAAGTAAGCAGGGGTGAAGCTCAGCAGAACACCTGCCTAGAATCCCCCACTGAGGGGCTGGGGTATGGCTCAGTGGTAGAGCCCCTGCCTAGAGTCCCCAGTGAGGGGCTAGGCGTGACTCAGTGGTAGAGCACCTGCCTAGAATCCCCCAGTGAGGGGCTGGGGTGTGGCTCAGAGGTAGAGCCCCTGCCTAGAATGTCCCATTGAGGGGCTGGGGTGTAGCTCAGTGGTAGAGCCCCTGCCTAGAATCCCCCAGTGAGGGGTTGGGGTGTGGCTCAGTGGTAGAGCCCCTGCCTAGAATCCCCCAGTGAGGGACTAGAGATGTGGTTTGTGGTAGGGCACTTGCATAGCATCTGCAAGAACTGGGTTCCATCTCCAACACCTTAAAAAAACAAAACAAGGGGCTGGAGAGATGGCTCGGCAGTTAAGAGCACTGGCTGTTCTTCCAGAGGACCTGAGTTCAATTTCCAGCATCCACATGGCAGCTCATTACTGCCTGTAACTCTAGTTTCAGGGGATCAGACAACTTCACACAGACGTATATGTAGGACAAACACGAAGGCACAGGAAAATAAATAAATACATAATTAATTTAAAAAAAAACAAGGCTGCCTCAATAAATATCAATAAAAAACAAGGCTGGTTGTAGTGAGGTACACCTTTAATCTCAGCACTCGGGAGGCAGAGGCAGGCAGATATCTGTGAGTTCAAGGCCAACCTGGTCTACAAAGCTTCCAGGACAGCCGAGGCTATACAGAGAAAGCCTGTCTCAAAAAACAAACAAACAAGCAAAAAGTACTTAAGAGCTGAGGTAAAGGAGGTGCGTCCTCACACTCCCTGATTTTTTCCATCCATAGCTTGTGCCAGCAGCAGCTGCCAGCCACTGGGGTGCCCATTACACATCAGCGCTTTGACCAGATGCGTGACATGTTTGATGACTATGTCCGGACCCGCACACTGCACAACTGGAAGTTCTGGGTAGTATCCTTAACTTGGGCTGATGGCCTGAGGGTAATAGTGGTGGCTGCTGTTGCTACAGTCAGACCAGGCTGTGTATTAGACCACAGGCTGAGCTGTAGGACCCCAGGAAATGGGCTTTGGTTCTGCCCTCTGTTGTCAGGCCCTGGGATGGCAAGAATGCTTGTCAGAGCGAGGGAGAGCAGGGCGGGCCGGGGGTGGGGGTGGTAATGCAGTTGGGAGATGTCCCTGAAGGCAGTCTGGAAGTATCAAAGGTCCAAGTCATGCTAGGTCTAGAGAAGGCAGGGCATCCACTTTTTCCTGAATCCAGGGTTGAGTTGTGTTTGATTTCCCATACTAGAGATTGGACAGGGTTTTTTATTACTTTATTTTATTTTGGTTTTTTGAGACAGGGTTTCTCTGTAGCTTTGGAGCCTGTCCTGGAACTAGTTCTTGTAGACCAGGCTGGCCTCGAACTCACAGAGATCTGCCTGCCTCTGCCTCCTGAGTGCTGGGATTAAAGGCGTGCGCCACCACCGCCTGGCTAACTTTTTATTTTGAGACAAAGTTTCACTAAGTTGGCTAGGGTGTCCTGGAATCCACTCTGTAGACCAGGCTGGCCTCGAACTCACAGAGATCTGCCTGCCTCTGCCTCCTGAGTGCTGGGATTAAAGGCGTGCGCCACCACCGCCTGGCTAACTTTTTATTTTGAGACAAAGTTTCACTAAGTTGGCTAGGGTAGCCCTGAACGTGTGATCCTTCTGCCTCAGTCTTCTGAATGGCTGGAATTACAAGCCTGTGTCATCAGGTCAGTATTTTTGTTCTTGACTAAGCTTAGAGATGCGGGGTGGGCCAATACAGAATGAGGGCTCTGGAGGAACTAGGCAGAAGGATAGAGAGATGAATGATCAACCCTTGGCAGGGAGGGAGGGGGGCAGAGTGATTTCCCATAGCGTTCACGATTAGACAGTGACAGGCTTTTCTTGGCACTGGCTTGGGTCCAGTGTCATAGCTGTTTGTGAGGTGGTGGGGTGTTGTCTGGACCACTGGTGTGTTCCTTGACTCCAAGCCCAGTTCAGCATACTCATCCGGCCTTTGTTTGAGTCCTTCAATGGGATGGTGTCTACCACAAGCTTGCACAGCCTCCGCCAGACCTCACTGGCTTGGCTAGACCAGTACTGTTCTCTGCCTGCTCTCCGACCAAGTACGTGAGCCATCTTCCTGCCTACTAACATGTGAGACCTTGCATAGCACCTGCCTAGAATCCACCAATGAGGAGCCTGGAACATGGCTCAGTGTTAGAGCACCTGCCTAGAATCCCCCAGTGAGGGGCTGGGGACTTGGCTGAGCAGAAGAACACATACATCATCATGCACAAGACCCTGAGTTCAGTCTCCAGTATCTCTCTCTCTCTCTCTCTCTCTCTCTCTCTCTCTCTCTCTCTCTCTCTCTCTCACACACACACACACATACACACACTACACATACACACACTTGTGGGGCTTCAGAGCAGAGTTCAAGCCCAGCCTGCTTGGTTCCCAAGTCTTGTCTATCTTGAATACAGCTTAGGGTTTGAGGCCATTCCACCATATCACACCCTGGATGGCCCTTGAGTCTCTAAAATAGCTAAAGAAAGAGGTCCTGGGAACAGCCATCTGCTTAGCTAGCTGGTATTTCCCCCATGTTCTTGACTCCATCCCTAACTCCCCCTCTTCTTCCAGCCGTCCTGAATTCCCTTCGCCAGCTCAGCACATCGACCAGCATCCTGACCGATCCGAGCCGTGTGCCTGAACAAGCCACACGGGCAGTCACTGAGGGTACCCTGGGCAGACCATTCTAATCCTGGTGAAAGTTTCCACGTCCCAGGGCTAACTCGTGGGCACTCCCCTCTTGATCCTGGCTAACTGCTTCCCTGGGAGTCTAGCAGGTTCCAGGGTTTACACTTACCACCTCCTGTGGATGGAAAAGAACCCAGTTCCCATCCCTGCACTATACGAATGCTGTGCGTTCTGGTGACTCATACTCCATCTAATAACAGAGGACCCCAAAGGCATTAGCAGCTGTGACGCTGGGTCCTAAGCCAGCAACTCAGGGAGCTCCGAGGAGAGATGCGGTCAACCTGTGTCCTCATGACTCCCTGCTTTTGGACAAAGAGCATCACCCTTCCTTTGTTCCTGAGCAGGGAGGCAGAGCAGGAGATCCCCTCTCTTTGCCCCTGCACTGGCGACATGGGGAGCTGTAGGGTGGCTTCCTGGGTGGCCACTGAGATCTGATGCCAGAAGCCATCAGGGCATGGGGCGACCGGAGCAGGGTAGGCATCTTGCATGTATGTAGATGTGTGTGTGCGTATGTGGATTTTATAAAAAATATTCTTGAACAATAAAAGCAAAACTATCTGCAGGGGTGTTGGTGTGATGGCAGCACGTCTCACTGTGGGACACAGAGAACATGGAGCAGCCCCAGGCGGCTAACAGGGGCCCTGTGGGTCATAAACCACCTTTGAGGGCCTTTTCGTTTGCTTGGGTGCAGATGAAGTGGCCCATGCTTGTACATGCAGGCCAGAGGCTGATTTGGGTAACTTTCTCATTGCTCTCCACCTTCTTTTAAAATGTTTCAAAAAAGATTTTAGGGCTGGGCACAGTGATGCTTACCTTGAATCCCAGCACTTGGGAGGCAGAGGCAGGTGGATTTTTATGAGTGAGGAAAGCCTGGTTTATATAGTGAGTTCCAGCCCAGCCAGCCAGAGATAGATATTGAGACACGGTTTACACACACACACACACAAACATGCATACATACATACAGAGTTACATATATGTATCATATTTGGGGGGGATTTTTTTTTTTGAGGCAGGAATTCTCTCTCTGTTGTTGTCTTGGCTGTCCCGGGACTTGCTATGTAGACCAGGCTGGTTTCAAACTCATAAAGATTATCCTCCCTCTGCCTAAAATTTATTTGTTGTCAGTTTGTTTTTTGAGTCAGGGTTTCTCTGTAGCTTTGGAACCTGTCCAGGAACTTGGTCTGTAGACCGTAGTCCAGACTAGCCTCGAACTCACATAGATCTGCCTCTCTCTGCCTCCTGAGTGCTGGGATTAAAGGCATGTGCCACCACTGCCCGACCGCCTAAAAATATTTTACATTACCTTTATTTATGTGTGTGTACACACACACACACGCATGCCACTCCTTCCCTCATGCAAGATATGGGGCGCAAACTCAGGTCATCAACCCTGGCGGCAAGTGCCTCTACTAGCCGAGCCATCTCACCGGCCTCTCTGCCTTGTTCTTTGAGACAGAATCCTCCACTAGGCTGCCTGGCCAGTCAGCCCCTGAGACCTGCCTGTCTCTGCCGCCCCAGCAGTGGGGGAACCACGCCTGACTTTTTATATCCTTGGTTGTAAGTCTAGCCTCTAGTGGCTGAGCCATCCCTCCAGCCCCACTCCTGGCTACATGGGTGCTGCAGTTTTGAACTCAGGTCCTTGTGTTTATACGGTAAGCTCTTGACCTACTAAGGCAGCTCCCAGCCTTCCACCTTGGCTTTCATGAGTGATGGACGCTACTGGCATAAGACGAAACTCAAGTGAAGGTTTGGTTTTTTCCTTACTTTAGAAAAAGGTTTTTGTTTTTTTTAATTATGTGTGTCTGTGTGTATGCACGTGAGTGTGGGTGCCTGCAGCAGCCAGAAGAGGGCGTGGTGTCCCTGGAGCTGGAGTTACAGAGGTTGTGAACTGCCACATGTGAGTGCTGGGATCCAACTCAGGACCTCTGCCAGAGCAGGCCTGCTCTTAACAGCTGAGTTATCTCTCCAGCGAGCTCTCTCCTTGATACAGGGTCCATTTGTATATACTAGGCTGAGCTCAAGCCTCTTGCTAAGATTGCATGTGTGTGCCACCGTACGAGACAGAAGGAATGAGAATATAACCTAAATTGTCTTGTCTTCGTTTGGTATGGTGAGGCTGTGCCAAGAGGCCCAGATCTAGGGAAAACTTTTTTTTTAATTTCCTCTTTTTTGAGGCAGGATCTCATGTAGTCCAGTATGGTCTTCCTTTTCTTTTCTTTTTTTTTTTCTTTTTTGAGACAGGGTTTCTCTGAGCCCTAGCCATCCTGGAACTCACTTTGTAGACCAGGTTGGTGTCTAACTCTGAGATCCACCTGCCTCTGCTTTCCTAGTGCTGGGATTGTTGAAGCCATGTGTGGACCCCAGCATAGCCTAAATATGGTAAATAACTGGGCTTGGCCTTTAAGCCTGGTACTGCTTCTACTTTTTTAAATGTAGAGATTTCAGATGGGTGTCTCCGTCACTTGTTCTGGAGATTGAGAGGCTGGGAAGTCCAAGCAGAGGCAGGTGGCTCTTTGTAAGGGTCAGGCCAGCTTGATCTACATAGAGAGTTCCAAGTGAGCTACAGAGTGAGATCCTGGCTCAAAGAAAACAAAACAAACAAAACCAACCACATACACCCAAACTGGGGCTGTACCTCAGTGTAGAGAGTGTTTGCTTTGTGGGTCTGAAGCCCCAGCTTCATCCGCAACTGCTAATAAATAGATGAATAAATTTTTTAAAATGGTGTTGTGCTGGGCGGCAGTGGCACATGACTTTAATCCCAGCACTAGGGAGGCAGGCAGATCTCTGTGAGTTCGAGGCCATCCTGGTCTACAGAGTGAGTTCCAGGACAGCCAGAGCTGCTCTATAGAAACCCTCTCTTGAAAAACCAATTAAAAAAAAAAAGCATATACTGCTCTTGAGAATACCCAAGTCTGATTCCAGCACCCACATGGGGAGGTGCACACCTGCCTGTAACTCCAGAGGATCTGATGTCCTCTTTTGATCTCTGTAGGCACCTGGATAAACATGGCTCACACACACACACTCTATATGATCCATGCAAACCCCAATACTTGCGCTGTGGTGATTTGCATGAGAATGCCTGCCTCCAAAGGCTCATCTGTTGGCACACTTGGTCCTCAGTTGGTGGAACTGATTGGGAAGAATTAGGTGTGACCTCGCTGGAGGAGGTATGTCACTGGGGGTGGGCTTTGAGAACCTGCTCTGTTCCCGGTGTGTTCTCTCTCTGCCGCCTACTGACTGACAGATATGAACTCTCCCTGTTCCTGCCTTCGCTCTGCCATCTCGGAGACTCCAAGCCCAATCCAGTGCTTGTGCTTATACGTTGCCTTGGTCCTGGTGTTTTGACACAGCAATAAGAAAGTAACTAAGGCATGCTGGGCTCCACCTGTCTCGGCATCCGCCCCTGAAGAAGGTACAGGTGGCACTCTGTGTCCTCAACCCAACCCATAACCCACCCTACTGTCCTGAAACCTGCTTCGTTCCACCTGTCCTTCACACTGGGGTTGGCTTCAAACTGGGCCATGTACCCGTGATGGTAAGGGATGGCTCTAAAAAGCCTTCCTCCTTCCCTTGGTTAGAGAAAAATGGATCTTAGAGTGTGACCCACCAGAGGCTGCTGTTACTGGGTTCTCTCTCTTGCTTCCTTGTTGACTGAGTTGGTTACTTTTGCATCCCTGTGACCACAAGACCTGACAGAGATAGCTTGAGGAAAGACTGGTTTGTGCTCATGGTTTCAGATAATTGCAGTCCGTTGTGGGGAAGGAATAGCTCCGGACACGTAGCTGAGCTTGTTTACATCACGGCTGACCAGGAAGCAGAGAGGCTGGATCCAGAGCCACACTCTAACCATCAAACCTCTACCCATAGCAACCTCCTTCCATGAACCAGGCCCCATCTCTAAATGTTTCTTATAGAGCTGCTTAACCGGGTCCTAGCGTTTGTCTCCTAATCTAGAGATGAGACCTACAGGAAGATTAAATGAAGCAAGAAAGTTTCTGATGCCAGCAAGCCAACTCCACACGTTCTGGGGCTCGCTGCCAACTCCGACAAACTAAATCTTAGCTCCTGGACTGAAGTGATGGAGAAAGAGGACCAGCTCCCATCTCACCAATTGTATTCTGGCCTTGAGGAGAGTACCAGGGTCTGTGCCCCCCACCAACCCATGTATGTGTACACAAAATGAATGTAACTTTTTAAATGTTTCAATATATTAACAAATGCATGTAAAAGGCTTGGTGAATGAAATGTGTGTGCATGTGTGTGTGGTGTATGCACATGTTCATGTGGGTTTGTGCACGCTTGTATGTGTAGGTGTATGTAGAGGCAAGACGTTGGCATCAGGTGTCTTTCTTGGTCAACCTCTACTCCCTTCCCAGTGAGTTTTTATTAGTAGCTGTGCTGTGATCCTGGGTTCCAGGATAGGGACTGTCATGTATCCAGGTCTCTCTTTACTACCCGAGGAGAAGGACAGAGGACAGAGTAGAGGCAAGATGGAGCCAGGCCAGATCTTACGTCAGCAATTTCCGGTCTGGCTCTGGTTCGGAAGCGGCTGCCTGAAAGGGTAGTCTGGTAGTTGCTTAGAGCGAGCTTAATGTGACCCTTAGCAAAAATCTAGTTTATGTTTTGAAATTGGGTTTCTCGCCGATTAAAGATGCGCCACTACCACCCGGCTGAAAATGCTTCTTGAAAGTGAAACTTGAAGCTAGGTGGTATAATCCCAGCACTCAGGAGGCCAAGGCAGGCAGACCTCTGTGAGTTGGAGGCCAATCTGGTCTACAGAGTGACACAGAGAAACCTTGTCTCGAAAACCTAAAATAAATAGATAGATAGATAGATAGATAGATAGATAGATAGATAGATAGATAAAGCAAAACTTTCAAGCCAGGAGTAGTAATGAATGCTTGTGACCCCAGCACTGGTAAGGCTGAGGCAGGGTGGTCATGAGTTTGAGGCCAGCCTAGACTACCTAGGGAATCGAAAGCAAGTTTTTTCATACCGAGATCCTGTCTCAGAGAATCACACCAAACCAAATATCCTAGTTTGCCTCTCGGAAGCAACTTTGAGGGCAAAGGGTCTTTTGTGGCTTTTACTTCCATGCCCCAGTCCATCACTGAGGTGAGCCAAAGCAGGAGCTGGGGTGTGGAGCTGAAGCCACCGAGGGATGCTACTTACTGCCTTGTTCAGCTATACAGCCCAGACCCAGGCGCACGGGATTGGAGCCACCCTCAGTGCCACCCCCAGACATCCATCAAGAAAATGCCCCACTGGCATGCCCACAGGGCAGTCTGATGGAGTCATTCCTCAACTGAGAATCATCCTCTTCCCAGGTGACTCGAGTTTGTGTCAAGTTGACAAAAATTAACCAGCATAACAAACAGAAACCCAGACAGCTTTCTCCGTAGATGGCAGAGAGGCCAGCACTCCCCACCCCACCGTCCTGAACTGAATTGATGCCAGTTCCCAGAAAAGGGCAAAAGGGAAGGAAATGAGCCCTCTCCCTTTGCTCTCTGACTGAACGTAGTTCCTCACCAAAGATAGCCAGTGTGTCTGTCTATATCTCTCTGCTTCTGTCTTTGCCTGTGCCCTTAAAGGATCAGGCAAGCTCAGCTGGAACTGTGAGGCCAGGCACATTAGTGGGGGCTGACTGGCCCATCTCGGAGTTTATAGACTTGCTATGGACTTGGGGACCAGGCAGTCCACAGCATATGCCAGTTCTAAGATTTTTTTTTCCAATGAAGCAGGTCTAATCCAAACGCTATCTTTCAGGATATGTCTATTTTTTGGTGAAATCTGAGTGTATCTGGCTCTGCTTTTGTGAGCGTCTGAAGGAACTGCCCATAGGGCTGCAGTGTCCATTGTTCTCTAGAGGCTACCTTTTTTTTTTTTAAAGATACACTTTATTTATTATGGCTAGTGTTCTGGCTGCACGTTTGCCTGCCAGAAGAGCGCATCAGATCTCATTACAGATGGTTGTGAGCCACCATGTGGTTGCTGGGAACGGAACTCAGGATCGCTGGAAGAGCAGTCACTGTTCTTAACCTCTGAGCCATCTCTCCAGTCTGGAAGCTCCCTTTTACAAATCATATTTACTCATTTGTGTGTTGAGGGGGCAGTGCATGCATACCACAGTGCTTGGGTGAGGTCAGAGGACAGCTTGTGGGAATTCTCTCCTGTCATCTGGGCCCTAGGACTCAGACTCAGGGTGTTAAGCTTGGTACGAGTGTTTTTATCTCCTGAGCCACCTTGGATGGCCTTGAACTCTGGACCCTTCTGCCTCTACCTCCTTAGTGCTGAGATTATAGGCCGGTGCTCTTATACCTGGACGTTTATTTTTCTTTCAGTGCCTTGTAAATCTTTAATTATTTTCCAATTCATTTTAGAACAATGTGCTTAATAGTGCATGTCTGTGTCCATGGAGCTTGGGAGGCTGAAGCAGAAGGATTGCTTCTTCTTCTTCTTCTTCTTCTTCTTCTTCTTCTTCTTCTTCTCCTCCTCCTCCTCCTCCTCCTCCTCCTCCTCCTCCTCCTCCTCCTTCTTCTTCTTCTTTTTGGTTTTTCGAGACAGGGTTTCTCTGTGGCTTTGGAGCCTGTCCTGGAACTAGCTCTTGTAGACCAGGCTGGTCTCGAACTCACAGAGATCAGCCTGCCTCTGCCTCCGGAGTACTGGTATTAAAGGCATGCACCACCATCCCCCGGCAAAGGATTGCTTCTTTAAGGACAGCCTGACCCACAAAGTGAGTTCCAGTCTAGCTAGGGTTACATGGTGACCCTGTCTCAACACACATCTTAAATTAAAACTAACCCCCAATACACACACACACACACACACACACACACACACACACACACACAACCCTCCTGCAATCCCACTACTCAGAAGGTTGAGGCAGGAGGGTTGCCTCAAGTTTAAGGGTTACAATATTGAAACCCTATTTTAGGAAACAATAAAAATCTTTTCGGGCTGAGACAAAGCTTTAGTGGGTAAAGCATTTGCTTTGTATGGGGATTGGAGTTGGGCTGCCAGAAACCAACCTCAACACAGCATGGGTGTGTCATGTCAGCCTGCTTGTAATCGCAGCACATGGGAGGGAGAGAAAGACAATCCTTGGAGAAAATTGGTTAGCCAGAATAGCAGAAATTGTACTCTACAGATTTACCCTGCTCCTGCACTCAGTGGAGAACAATCATGGAAACCAACTACATCAACATCTGGCCTTCACACACAGGCATGCACATAGCCAGTGTGGTGTAAACCTTTAATCCCAGCACTTGGACATCAGAGGCAGGCTGATTTCTGTGAATTCGAGGCCAGACTGTTCTAGGACAAGAGCAAGTTCTAGAACAGGTTCCAAAGCTACACAGAGAAACCCTGTCTCAAAAAAACAAACCAAACAATGAATGCTCACACATTTAAACACATCTGTCACACTCATATGTCATACACACGTACATAGATGATGGAGGAGGGTCATCTTTCTATCTGTTGTTTCATTGGTTAAGTAATAAAGAAACTGCTTGGTCTCTGATAGGACAGAAAATTAGGTAGGCAAAGTAGACAGAACAGAATGCTGGGAGAAAAAAGCTTAGTAGAGGAGTCACCATGATTCTTCCACTCCAGACAGACATAGGTTAAGATCTTTCCTGGTAAGCCACCTCGTGGGCTACACAGATTATTAGAAATGGGTTAGATCAATATGTAAGAGCTAGCCAATAAGAGGCTGGAACTAATGGGCCAGGCAGTGTTTAAAAGAATACAGTTTCCGTGTAATTATTTCAGGTATAAAGCTAGCCATGCGGGCGGCTGGGAGCTCGGGTGCCAGGAACGTAGCCCGCCACCCTTATTACAACACATAGGCAAAAAAAAAAAAAAAAA